ACGTTAGAGAGAGCTGAAAAGGTTTTTTAAAGTTTTTCTAGCTTTGGGCAGGTTATTTCCATCGATGAGGACAAAACACATAAGGTTTGGCAACCACGGTACCCCAGGAAATAAAATGATCGTATACTTCAGTCAACTATCGGGGTACACTAGAGTCTGGATTTCGGCAAATTAAAACTCAGAAGCAAGGGGAGGGGCAGACCTGGCAACGCTGCTGCCAGAATGTCCTGCCCTGATTATTGATTAAGTAATAATCACTAGCGAATAATGATTTCGTCTTTCTCCTCAGACGCCCAGCTATCTTTGGAGGCAGACAATGTCAGGGCATACTGAAGAAGAGGGGTTCTGAGTCAGTTTGAAACTGGGCTCCACTACTGAATGGCTTGTTATGTTATGTGTACGACGATTCCATAACAAGCACGCAGGTGTGTGGTGAGGATTAAGTGGGTTGACAATCAGTGGCCTCCTAGATGTCAGGCACTTGCTAGATGCTGAGAGCGGGAACCGAACGAGGCCCCAAGGCCTAGGACTTGTTGTCTTCGAGGATCTCACAATCTTATGGCATTTTCTGAGCAGGAAAAGTTCTAAGGCTCACGTCGGTTCAGGCCCACCCCTCTGCCGCTGAAGCCAGGCAGAAAAGTGCAAAACTGAGGGCTTACCAGAATTTTATTCTGGGTGAAAGTACTGTCCGTGAGGTACAATCTTTGTGGGCATCAAATCCACGGGCACGTATTTTATTCATCTCTGTAACCTGACTTTTTCATTTCGAGGTGGTGGGCAAAATTATTACGAGATTGTAATCAAATGCCGCCCTCACCCATCCCCTCACTGCCAAGAGAAGTAGTTGGCTCCTCTCTTAAAATTAATTAAGAAAGCAAAAAGAAATTTCCAGCTTCTTGATTCAGAGTTTGAGTTTCAAAAAAAACCAAAAAACAAAAAAACAAACAAACAAAAAAACCCTGCTATTTCCCCGCAACTCCGCCACAGACTCTGGGAACGAGAAAAGAAAGCTACAGGGAAGATGCTGCACGAAAGCCAGAGGCTGAGGACTCAGAATAGAACTGAAGCCTTATTACTTCAGGGCTAAAAGGAAAAAACAAACAAACAAACAAAAAAAACCAAAAAGCAGTCTAACCATACTGACTGACTAGGAAAGTTTTAGCCATGACAGAAGGGTCTTCGTCCCTTCTCCGGAGAGTAGTTCCTCCAGGAGCCTCACAGCTGCCAGAGCAGAAGTTAGGAGACAAGCCAGCAGCAGGGGAGAAGCTGACTGTGGCCAAGGACCCTCCCGCGGGTGACGCCGATCCCCGAAGACAAGGACCAGCAGCCCTCCTGAGGTTCTCCCAGAGTGCGTGATGCCGATGAACCAAACTCCCAGATTTCTGATTTGCGCGGCATGGAAAGTCACTATATTAGTCAATCTTTGGAGCAGCTACGATACAAAGATCAGTAGCAGGAGGCACACTGACAACCTAGAGGCCTTGCAAAACCTCAAAGGGCCCTCCGAGTCCTCAGAGAAAAATGAAAACGTGTGCGTAATAGTTTCACAGCTGTGACCCAAAAAAAGGCAAAAGAAGCTTTTTTTGCTAGAAATGTCTAGGAAAAGTCTGAAGGGGAGGAAGCAGCAGAATCCTGCATCTGCCTACCTGAACCTTCTTCGTCACTGGTCTCCTGTGCACCAGAGAGCGAAGGTCATGAGATTCCAAAGTCGTCATTTCTGAGCCACTGAGTCACCACGTATCTGCCAATCTTCTCCATCGCTCTCCTAGGTGAGCAAAAGTCACCTGCTTTTCTTCCGCCAAGTTACTTTGAGCTCTGGGTTCGATCCCAGGTCAGCTCTGGTCCTGCATGAGACGTGTGAACATGCCCGCTGGGCTTGATGTCTCACTGTAATAACTGGAAGAAGTTATTTCCCTGAGAAAGACAGGTGACCAGGGAGAGATGCTAGCGTCCAAGCTACAGAGGCTTGGACCTTACGAAGGCCCGATCAGGACAAAACGAGCACCGAGCGACGCCATCAAACAGTACACGCTCCCAAGGGGACTTTGCTAGGCGAAGAGACTGAATTCCGCATTTTACATTTTTTTAATTAAACTGATAGGGGTGGCACTGGTTAATAAAATTACATAGGTTTCAAGCGTACAATTCCATAACGTGTCATCTGTTTGTTACACTGTGTGCTCACCACCCAGAGTCGAGTCTCCTTCTATTACCATATATTCGACCCCTTTTTCTCTCATCTCCCCTCCCCCACCTTTCCCTCGGGTAACTTCTAAACTGTTGTCTGTGTCTATGAGTTTTTGTCCTGTTCATCGGTTGCTTTCGGTTTTAAATCCCACATATGAATGAAATCATGTGGCGCTCAACTTTCTCCACCTCCCTTATTTCGCGTAGCATGATTATCTCGAGGTCCATCCATGTTGTCGCAAACGGTGGTATTTCATCTCTCCTTACGGCTGAGTAGTACTCCATTGTATACATGTACCACAGCTTCTCCATCCAATCCCGCATCAAAGGACATTTTGGTTGTCTTGGCCACCATGAATAATGCTACAATGAACATGGGGGTGCATGTATCTTTATGGATAAATGTTTTTAAATTGGGGGGATAGAGACCCACAAGAGGGATTGCTGGGTCATGTGGTAGATCCATTCTTAGTGTTTTGAGGAACCTCCATACTGCTCTCCATAGTGGCTCTACCAATCTGTACTCCCGCCAGCAGCGTATGAGGGTTCCTTTTTCTCTATCGTCTCTCCAGCACTTGTTGTTACGTGTCCTGTTGATAACAGCCATTGTTACAGGTGTGAGGTGGTATCTCGTTGTGGTTTTGATTTGTATTTCCCTACTAGCTAGTGAAGTTGATCATCTTCTCGTATGTCTGTTGGTCATTCAGTCACCACGTATCTGCCAATCTTCTCCATCGCTCTCAGGTGAGCGAAAGTCACCGGCTTTTCTTCCGCCAAGTTACTTTGAGATCTGTGCTCACCACCCAGAATCAAGTCTCCTTCCATCACCATAAATTCGACCCCCTTTTTCTCATCTACCCCCCCCCCATTTGTATGTCTTCTTGGGAGAAGTATCTGTTCGGGTCCTCTGCTCGTTTTTCAATTGGATTGTTTTTGTTGTTGAGTTGTATGAGTTCTTTATATATTTTGGATATTAACCCCTTAGTGGAGGCGTTATTTGCAAAAATCTTCTCCCATTCAGTGGGTTACCTCTTTGTTTTACTGATGGTTTCTTTTGTTGTGCAGAAGCTTTTTAGTTTGACATAGTCCAATTCGCGTTTTACATTTTTAAGAAAGAAAACAAACTCTTTGATAATGCAGAGGAAGATTCTGCTTATAACACAAATCTTTTCTAAGCATCTTAAATTGGAAAAAAAGATCTTATGTGTTCGGTTCCAATACCAAAGATCCCAAACTGCTTAGTTAGAAACCACCTAAGATGAAGAAAACAAGCCACTTCTAAACCCACACAGCCTGACAGCCTGCAGTATATGAAACCAAGGACTTCACCCCATAATTAGTCTAGAAAGGCACATGGCCTTTAAGAAAGAGGAAAGCAAACAATAAGAACCTGGGGTAGCTATTATGGCCATTTATGCTTCTTCTTAACAACGGAACACAGTAATGAGCCTGCGAGCGCCCGATCCCAGGCCAACGTGGATGGCGGAAGAACAGGATCTGATAATGATGTGCCCTGACATCTGGAGCTAATTCTTACAGTAAGGAGATGACCTTGAAGAATCGAAGACTGGGGGACGGAGAAGACAAGGACACGTGCTCCTGAGATTCGGGGTCTCTGTCTCCACTCAACCCGAGGCGAGCCTCAAGGGGCTGAGGTTTCTGATGCATCTCTGCCCACCTTCCTTCCTAACACACGATGTCAAAAGCAGCCAGCCACCTTCTGAAGCAGACGCGTTCAGATGACGACATTCAGAACAGTGTGATTTTACAGACTTCTCCCTCCCACTGATGATAACAAAACATCACAGTCAGTCACAGACGAAGACCAGCAAGGACAAGGGGAAAGAAACAGCTCATATGTACGTTATAGAGAGCACCCGTCCTGCTAGCCTGACTCCTAAAATGGCAAGGTTTTCAGAGGAGGAAATACCTGCATTTCCATATCAGAATTTCTTCACCACGACTGTGGAGAAAGACATAATTGCTCCCAAGTACAATTCAGTGAGGTCAACAGGCCCATAAATGCTTATCTCTCTGGAAGTTCTAGCTATCAGCAAGTCTCTAGCCGGGATTGGTGGGAGAGAAGGTAGGACATTAATCAGGCAAATCAAGGAAAGAAAGTCAGTTCCGGATTCAACCCAGCACTGGAAGTGGTTATAATTCCCCTGAAAGCCAGAAGTCCTTTGCCTTTGGGTCTGAAGATGACGGCACTGTTTCGCATCCTGTGGAGCAGCTCGTACGATATTAAATATCTCTTTAAAAGGTATTACATGACACTGTGGAAGCAGACGTTTCTCCTCGGCTCAAAGTCCCTTAACGACCCCCCATTGCCTGCAGAGCACGCAGGAAAGTCCTTGTCCTTCACAGGGCCTTCAAACCTTCACGGCACCATGTCTACGACCCTGTCTCCTGTAACTCTCAGCCTCACTCCCGCCACTCAACTCAGACCGCCCTTAACTAGTCCCCTAACTAGTCCACGAACACCAGGCACTCTCCCCCGCCACCCTCTCTGCAGTGTTGTTCCCTCTGCCCAAAACACTGTTCCTCAGATACCCACGTGGCTCACGCCCTCAGCTCCTTCAGGTCTCTGCTCAAAGGGCACCTTCTCAGGGCGGATGTTCTCCAGTCATCTCAAGCTCCATCGCCTTGCTCTGTTTGGTTTCTCTGTAATGTAGCGCTTGTCCGTCTCTAACATACTATATGATAAGCCGATGTGTTATGTAAATAATAAACCAGAACGTCTATTTTCTTTACCAACATATCCTGAAGAACAGAGGAAAATGTCTGGCACGTGCTCCGTACTTATTTATTGAAAGGATGAAAGAGAATGTTTTGAATTCCAAATTCTCCATCAGTCCTAATTACACCGAAGAGAAAGTCTCAGATCGACAATCTTCAACGAAACCCTACCACTTGGCAAACTTTTTTCTCTTTTTAATTGTTTTCTTTTGAGGTGTAATTCATCCACTATAAAATTCACCCATTTTATGTGTAGAATTCAATTACTTTCAGAAAGTTTATGAAGTTGGGTACTAATCTCCCTTCTCAGCATGAAGAATGAAGACTTCAGGCTCAGAGCCTCTCCCAGCAACAGCGTCTGCTGCAATGTAATAACTAACACTGCTCTCTCTTCGCTGGCCATGTCTTTCTGGTTATTCTTTTCGCTAGTGATGCTGGCTTTCCACTTAAAGTGGAAATAAAAGCTTCCTTTTTAAAGAAATTGATTTAGTGAAACATGAGTCAATTTTAAAAGTGCATCGAATAGCTAAAAATATATGTAGTCCAAAAAGGTAGCCAAATCGAAAGGATATTAATGAGAAACAGCAAAGTTTATGAAACATTGACTCCTGGGATCCAGACCTGCTGGTCTCACAGACTGCAGAACCTCAACTAATAAATAAAAGTCAGGGTACTGACACTTGCCCCTAGGGTCCGCCCTCAATTCCCATCAGATCTGTTGGGAGACTGTCCTTCCTGGGTCCCCCGTGTTTCTGCACGTCTTGGAAGCGGGGCACAGACGGCCCTCTGTTTCAGACTCTCATTGCAAGGATGTCTGTATAGTGAACAGCCTTGGAAGATACAGTTTCTCCTTCTAGAAAAAGGGCAGGATTGCTCACGGACTTAGAGGATAGAGACCATGTCTTGATTTGGGGCAAAGGACAGGCATGCTTACTGCCTACTACAGAAGATTTGGGTTTCTTTAGGTGAGGTTCCTCTCTTATAATGCAACCCTTCCATGCACACTTATTAGCTGGCTCACTATGCGCTGCCCCGTGGAAACAGAGGCCTGGAGCACTGGCACGAAAATGCTGATACTCTGGCTGTTGTTCTAAGTAACAGACTATCCTTTGTCTCTGATCTAGGGGTCTCATGTCTTATACCCAGAGGAAACTATGGCAGATTAACTTGTAAGCTTGCAAGTAGGCTAGGATCTCAGACTCTTCACAGTTCTTCCAATTCCTCACCTCATTGTGGATTTCCTCTCCTTGTTTCAAAACCGCAGGCTCCAAGGATTTCAAAGAGACGTCACCATTGTCTGCCTGATCGCGGACGTTCTGCAGAGCCAACTGGCAGCGCTGTAAGATATAATCCAAGGTTCCCGTCGAGCACTGCAGAGACAGAGCAGCAATCAAGGTTACAAGCCAGGTCCAAGTTCACCATGCCTCCTCCTGGGATTGTTCACATCTGTCCCCTTACCGTACAGTTACCTGTCACCCTCACAGCTCAGCCTATACTCCTTAAGAATTACTGCAGTGGCCTGCTCACTGGGCTCTGTGCTGCCAGCGTGGCCTCGCCTACCGGGGGCCACTCACCTGTCTGGTGTTCCATTATCATATAGGCCTCATGTCTCTAGCTAAACGGTAGGCTCCCTCCGTGTAAAGCCCCATTATTTATATGTAGAATACATATGCGCACGAGACACTAGAACTCAGGCCTAACTGTAAAAGAAACTCATCAAGTAGTTTTTGGATGAATACCTAATTCACTAAGAAGTCAAGGACACTGACTTCCTCCCTTGAGCGCCCCGAACCCAACAATGGGAAAGAAAGGTGACCGGACTGTAGAACCGGTTCATAAGTACACGAAACAGAACAGTAACGGCAGGGGGAAAAAATGAAGTTATAAACACAGGGCAGAGAACTCATTTTCCTTTTCTGCAAAAAGCATACACCAGGCAATTGCAGTCCTTGGCAGAATAGATTCTTCAAATAATGGAGAATATGTGGCTTATGCCCTCAAGGCACGTTCAAAGGCATGACTTAGAACCTGGGTGTCATAACGAGTTCATCCCTCTCCCCGTCTGTGCGAGCCAAGCGGTCACGTAGACAAATCCCTGCTTTGAATGATCGTGTGTCAGAAAGAAGAGGATGCAGGTGGAAGGCGCATCCGTTTGTTTTGATAATGACATGATTTCCTAGAATGATAAAAAGCGAGCTAGAAATATCCTTTAGACTCAAGGAGGGAAATGTAACCCTAAAGTATTTTTATTTTAATATTTGTCATTTAAACAGATCCCTTAGAAATAACATTGAAGGCTAAGCTCCTGGTACAAAAATTCTTTGCACAGTTACTGCCATTTAATACAATGTGACATGGACAAGCCTGGGAAAAACAACGTTTCCGTGCCAAAAACAGAAGCTCGACTAATACATATTTAAGTATGAAGATCCCAGGATGCTGGGATCACAAGAGCTGTCAGCTCCAAATTGCTACCAAGAAAACACACGTAAAAAAACAACAGAGTCGAATGATCTCACTCATTTTTGTCCCACAGCCCCCCGACCTTCTGTCTAGAAACACATTCTACTTGCACCTTTACTTTTCACAGGTATGAAGGAACCTACGTAAGAGCTTGTTAACTGCACTGACATTGATTTTAACAAAAGATGGAAAGTAACCTAAATTTCCCGTCAACAGGGGACTAGCTGAATAAGCTACATGGAGCCATACTTGCAGCCCTGACCAAGAAAAGGAAAGAAGGGGGAAGTTTTGCTTCGTCTCCTGGGTGAGCACAGTTTTATTTAATGTAAAGAACCTATGAATGGGCCCGGGTTTCTGTTTGTTTGCGTTTGTTTTTATTTGACAGCTTTACTGAGACAGTACATAGCATACAAGTCAGTGTGTGTCAGGACAGTCACAGAGCTGCGCAGCCATCACTGCAGATAATTTTAAAATCTGTTCATCGCCCCAGAAAGAAGCCCTGCACCCTTTCGCAGTCACGACCTGCCATTTCTGCCAACCTTCCCAGGCTCAGACAACCACCAGTCGACTCTGCGTCTACAGATTTGACTCTTCTGGACATTGCATAGAAATTATCATACAATATGTGGTCTTTGGTGTGTGGCTTCTTTCAGTGAGCGTGATCTCTTCCAGGTCCGTCCATGCTGAAGCGTGTATCAGTACTCCATTCTGCCGTATGGTGAAATAATGTGCAATTGGACGGACACACCGCATTGTGTTTGCCCATTCACTAGGTGAGGAACCTTTGAGTTGTTGGCGCTTTGGGGCTACTGTGAATCAAGCTACCGTGAACAATCATGTCCAAGTTTTCATTTCTCTGGGGTATGTGCCTAGGAATGAAATTGCTAGGTCATATTTAACCTTTCTGTATTTGCCAGACTGTATTCCAAAGTGGCTGCACCATCTTACATTCCCTCCGGCCGTGTATGAGGCTCCCCGTTCCCCCGCATCCTCCGCGACACTTGTTACTGTGACTCTGGTAACAGCCGTTCTGGTGGGTGCGAAGTGGTATCTCACTGTGGTTTTGATTGGCATTTCCCTGATGACGAATGATGTTGAGCTCGTTCATGTTTATTAGCCATTTGTATATATATATATTTTTGGAGACATGTCTACTGAGATCCTTTGCCATTTTTAAAAACTGTATTATTTATCTCTTTAATTATTGAGTTGTAAGAATTCTTTATATATGCTGGATATAAGTGCCTTGTGAGATATATGATGTGAAAATATTTCCTCCCATTCTGTGGGTTGTCTTTTTACTTTCTTGATGGTAACCTTTGAAGCCTAAAAGTTTCAACCTTGATAAAATCCAATTATCTACTTTTTTCTTGGGTCGCTTGTGTTTTTGGTGTCGTATCTTTAAAAAAACATTGCCTACTCTTAGATAAGAATTATGAAGCACCATAAAACTATTCATATCCCCATGCAGGGTTCCAAAAAGTACACCAGCTAAAAAACTACCAGAAGCATATGACTGGACCAGTTTCGTTGTAACTTCAGCAGCACTGAATCGTATCATTTTTAACTTTTGGTAGAAATAAAAAGTTACCTTAAGATGGTGATTTTTTAAAAATTTAACTTTAAGGTGATTTTTAAAGCCTGCATAAAGGATCACATATAACAGCCAGCAAACTTTTTTTCTATTAAGAGCATTTTTGTAAGAGTTTATTTGAGCCAAACTGACGACATATGCCAGGGACTAAGATCTCAAACGCTCCCACAAACTTTTTCTTAAAAGACCAAACAGTAAATATTTTAGGCTTGCAGGCTCTAAGATTTGCGTTGCAACCTCTCAGCTCCGCCACGTAACTCCAAAGCAGTCATAAACAATATGTAAACAAATGAGCGTGTTCCAATTAGAAATTTATTTACAAAACAGCCAGCTGGCTCACGGGCCAGACTCTGCTGACTCTGAACTATAATAGAGAAAGCAGGATAGTCACATCGTCCACATTACATGCGTCAAATTAGTAAAATATCATGTAGCATGAACTGAAGTAACAGAGAATATAAAAAACACAGATTTGGCATATTGTTTTCTCCCAACAGCATCAGTATATGTACCTACTTCTTTATTGACAGCTGATTAATGCTCAAAATTCTGCCTGAAAATTAGAACATACGAATTCAGCTATGACTAAGCAAAAAAAGGGTAGCCTCAGGAGATGCTGGAAGCTCTAGAATTGGACCACCTGGGAAAGGAAAAGAAACAAGGCTGGAGGGGTCCGTTTCAAACTGTGCTCCTCTGGCGGCTTCTGAGTATGCGGGTATTTATTGCAGGGGGTGGAGAGAGGGAGAGAAGTTTCCTGATCCCTCACATTGAAACTGAACAAACTATTGCCTTCCCTCATGTCTTAGATCCCATTTCTACTAACGGTGACGTCACCTTCAAATCACCCAGGCTTGAAACCTCAGTGCCAGCCCAGAGCCTCACACATGGAAAGCATCCAGTCAAGTTCACGCATTCGTCTGTTCGTTTGTTCATTAGCTCATTCATTCTCACATGGCTCCCTCCACTTCGGTCAGTTGCCAAGTCTGACACTATGTCTCCTACATCAGTCATGGGAATTTCTTCTTTTTTTCCTGCTGCTACCACTAGTTCAGACCCCGATAGGTTTAACTGATGCCGCCATCATCTTCATCTTCCTAAAGATACCTCCAGTATGTCACCACCGAGATAACAATCAATATCCTACCTGTCAACCAACTTACGGTCAAACAACTAGTCTTTCACAAGATAGAAAGATATTCAAGATCTTTCCCAATGTGGTCCATTCAGGAATCAGCCGTAACTGCCAACACCCCCTTTATGGCATCCTGACATCCAGTTAAAGTACTGCCACTAAACGTTCCCCATGTATTTGCATCCCATTCCAATCACAAGATTCTTCACCCCATTAGCTGTCCTAAAATATCCTGAAATCCCCTACCCGCTACATGTTGAAGTCTTACGCGCCACTCACCCACGGACCCTTACGCTGTCTGCTACTCTCTGTTCTGCACTATATTTGCTCTTAGGCTCCAAGCAGCTTGAAGACTCCAAACACGTCAGCCGTCCCTGTTCACAAGTGCCTAAACGAACACCTTGAGCACTGGGAAGTTCAACAACAGTTTGCAGAACGGATGAATGAACTAAAGTTCCTTCCTTTCTTTTGAACAGTAATTTCAATCAATAGCAAGACTCATGGATGACCTAATGTCTTTTGCTTTATTTGTACACTCTAGTGTATAAATGGAGACAGAATAACTTTCCACGCAAAGAGCTTTGGTTGTTCCCATCTCCTATTGGCTTTTCATCAAAGACAGTAGCAGTAATCATAGTAGTAGTAGTAGTAGTAGGATAGCATTAACAGTAGTAGTAACTTAATAATAGTAGGGGCGGCTAACATTCTCTGAATGCCTTCTCCCTCCCAGCCACAGTTCTCAAAGACTTACATGTAATAACTTATTTGATCCTCATGAGAACCCTATGACCCAGGTACGACTATCATCCTCATCCAACACCTTTTCCCAAATTTTGTGGCCATCGTTTTGTACCAGCCGCCTGAGTACAGCAGTAATCAGCCTGTCTGCTCTCCCAGATCCGATGTAAGAAAAATATGCTCAAGTAGCCACACACTCAAACTGACCCAGAAGGAAAGGGCCGTTGAGAGGGTTAGAGCTAGAAAGACAGATGCCTGTAACACCTTATATAAAAATGAAGTCTTTTTTATACACTACAGAGCACATACGCTCTACAAAAGCTTACTCACTTTTTCCTTCCTTCCAGACTTCCCACCTGACTTCCTAACAGAACTCACTTTTATGTCTCTAAGATAATTATTTCTGTGTTTATTTGTTTAATATGTGTCTCTCCAACGAAAATGGAAGTTCAATAAGGTAGTGGTCATATCGTCACGTTGATGGCTCTCTCTCTCCCTCAAGCCTGTAGTGCTGCTGGACACCTAACAGACACTCAAATATTTAGATGAACGAGCCCACGGAAGAAAGAAAGGAAGATAAGGAAAACGAGAGGAAGGAATGAATGCCTGACGGGCTTGCAGCATCTTGCAGCGATAGACGCTCATGCCCTCTCTGCCCACAGCGACAAGCCCAGCCCACCAGAAACGCTACTTAATGACCAAAAGGCACGGATGACACCGCCTTCCAGATGCACGTGGTCTCGGGACCGACAAGCTCTTGAGCTCGTACTTTCCTGCCACTTTGTTGTATTCCTTCTGCCCAATTTCCTCACACTGGACCGCTGGGGTATGATAAAAAGTCAAACTATAGAGCAAAACGCTGAACCCAAGCTTGGAAAGAGAGTCAACTTGTCATCTTTTCTTCGTGATTAGTCCTCTGATCTCTGGAACCCTTCCGAACTGAGCACACAGTACCCCGGGGTGGCTACTCAGGGTTTTCTCATCTCTTAAGTTTCCATCCTGAACTAGTCTAATCAGCTGACCATCGGCCACTCCAAGCAGTGGCAGAATTTAGCAATAAAGCCTGGGTTATGAACACAACTGGGGAGCTCGGCACTTCCTTGGCAGCGACTGCGACTTTCTCCTTCATTTGCATTCACATGCCCAGAAGCCTGACCAAAAGTTAAGGGAAATGTAAACCCTCAACCATCTGAGCCCAATCACAGCTAACACATGCGCAAGCACACAAATCCGCCCCATTTCCTTCTGGCCATCTCCCGCCCTTGACCTTGACAGATACAAACCCCTTAGAAAATCTCTAACTAGCAACACCTGCCAACGGCATTTACCTGATCCAAGAAACATATCCCAAAGAAGCAAAATATACTTATCCCACGCTGTGAATACACTTTAAAAAACCATCCAACACGACTCAAAGCTAAACGAGCAAGTAAACAGAGGCTCAAGTCACGTTAAGTGGAAGCGATTTTCCTATCGAACACTACTCCAAAGTTCTGTGATACACTGCTCGTTCAGCCACTGCTGTCACGTCCAATTAAGTCTGGATCGCGTTTTTGTTTACACTTACCTCTGCCACTCTGTGGGTGGAACTAAACCGAGGTGGTAAACCAGCCAGAACACAGTGTTGGTGGGTGGCATTGAGATCATCTGCAGGAAAAATAACAAAAATCAAGAAAAAGAAAAGAAAAGGAAAAAAAAAAAAAAGAAAGCCACACACACATACTTGACACTTATTAGTCACTATACACCATTTAACTACAATATAAACAGTAAATCCATCATTCAAGAATGACGACCAAAAAATACTTACTTTGTATCCTTTACACCATTCTTCATAAATAAACGACCATCAAAACCAAGACACTTTCAAGAATGAAAAGGGATGTTATTAATAATGATTCCAGGACGACAGGTGTAAAGCAGGAAACAGGATGTAGGGTTACCTTACTTTCTTGTAGTCTTATGATACCCACTCATGACAAAGTTTACTATTTGTAGATTGAACGTCTTTCTCTTTCTCATGATATATCTAATTCTACCCATGCCTTCAGAATAAGCCAAAATTCTTTCATGTTATTTGAGGTTGAACATCTTTCATCTGAAAATCTCTTTCTCCCCAAAGTATCAATTTTGTCCTAACAATTTTCCAGGCAACAAACCAACCAACTCAGCATGTTGCAAAGCTCTGGCTCTCAGAATAGAATTCAAGCCTATGGATTCACAACCCAAGAATGGAGTAGGTGGTGAGTTCATCAGCTGACGAACATGCCTAAAACCGCATGCGGCGGGAGGAAGACCAATGGCCAAGCTGTTGTGTATTCTCAGAAACGATGCCACATGTCAGGCAAAGTCTGTCCCACCTCCACTTAGGACATCACCTCCTGTATTACGAAGAAGAGAACCAAAGAGTCTGACCCCAGCAACACATGAGTTCCTACACAGGCACCAGAAGCTTCTTACCAAAATGCCAAGAAAGACGACTTAGTTAAACCAAGAGGCAAAGACCACTTCACCCCTTACGTGTGAAGAAAACAATCTTACGTGTCAGAAAAACAACCTACGATGTTACCTGTGAACACAAGAAAAGAAATGCAAAATGCCAATTGCAGGGCTCCTGCTTCTGGGCACTCTGGGCTAACGGTGACAAGGTTTACCCTCCGACCTTAAACAACTATACGACAGACCAAAAATAGCAAGCGAAGTTTCTGACTCTGGAAACAGAGCAAGATACAGTCCCAAAGGTAAGAGAAACAAAACAGGTGAGCCCTACAATTGCCCTAACTCACTGCCTGAGAACAGTTCCAATGCCACAGAGTAAAAATGGCAAAGTCAAACAGAACCCCCAGTTTTCAGTTTGCTTTCTTGACGAGTTGTGAAGACAGAGACTAGAGTGTGGGAAAGTCACACCGGCAAGGATTTGTAAGGCAGACCACTGGAATAGAAGGGCCTGCAAAGAGAGAGAGAGAGCAAGCAGACATCTCTGCGTAAGGGTTCCCTCGAGTCTGCTCACATGTGAATGATAAACCCCCAAGGGCAGGAAAAGCACGAGAAAGCTGTAGGCTGAACAAATCCCAGGTCTCACGCAGGGCCGTGAACACCAAGTACATGAGATAATGGACAGAGTCTCTAGAAAAGTTTCATCTAGTTGGGCTAAATAAGTCCTAGATCAAAGGCTGCTCTAGATCCATCTAACAGTTTAAAAGCAAGCTTTGAAAGGATCCAACTTATTCCAAATAGCTTAATTACTCATTAGAGCAAAGCACAACACTATTTGAAAAAAATGTAACAAAATAGGGTACCCTACAATTAAAATGTGCAATATCCAGTGTCCATTCAAAAAGTAACAAAGAGAAAGATATATGATACAGATGATACACAAGATACAAATCTTTCTTTCCCACACACAGTCTATAAATGTATATCTTTTATATATTAACAAAATGAAGCATCTAAAGATGAGAAATACGGTATCTGAAATATCACACGGAATAAGATTAACAGCACTTCAGACACTGCAGAAGAAAAGATCAGTGAACCAGAATATACAGAAATAGCAACAACCCAAAATGAAGCAGACAGAGAAAAAAAGACTGCAAAAGAATGAAGGAGCATTTATGACCTATGAGACAATATGTAAAGCAGTTTAACATAAATATAATTTGAGTCTCAGGGAATGGATCATGACAGAAAAAAATACTTGAGAAATGATGGCCAAAGGAAAAAATAAGAATAAAGAAAAAAGGCAACGAATCAAAAATATTAACAAATAAGGTAGATATCAACCCAGCTATATCAATAATGACTTTAAACATCAATAATCAAAATACACCAGTTCTAAGAAAGAAACTGTCAGACTGGATGAAAACACAAGAGCCAACTATATGCTGTCAACAAGAAATTCACTTTAAATATAAAGACATATATAAATTAAAAGTAAAAGGCTGGAGAAAGCATTATCGTGCTAACACTAACTAAAACAAAGCTGGAGTGTCTAAAAGAATTTCAGATAGAGCAGACTTCAAAGTAAAGAAAATTATCAGCAATAAAGAGGGGCATTACATAACAATAAAGGGGTCCATTCTCCAAGAACACATAACAATCCTTACGGTGTATGTGCCTTATAACAGAGCATCAAAACATGGGAGGTGAAAACTAATAGAAGAGTAAGAAGAAATAGACAAATCCACTATTTTAATTGGAGACTCCAACATCCGCTTTCAGAAACGGACAGATCCATGAGGCAGAAAACCAATCAGTAAGGACACGGGAACTCAAGATCATCATCGATCAACCCAGGGTAAACTGTGGCACATCCAGACAATGGAATGTTATTCAGCCCTAAAAAGAAATGAGCCTTGAGGAAATGCAAATGCATATTATTAAGTGAAAGAAGCCAATCTGAAAATGCTACATATACTGTATGATTCCAACGACACAACATTCTGGAACAGGCTAAACTAGAGAGACAGTAAAAAGACTAGTGGTTGCCAGGAGATGAAGGTATGAGATTAGGGGGGATTTTTGGAGCAGTGAAACTATTTTGTGTGATAGGTAATAGTGTACCGACGTCATAATACACTTTCAAAATCTGTAAAATATTCAACACCAAGACTGAACTCTGATGTAAAAAATATAGACTTGGTGATAATGACGTATCAGTGTAGGTTCACTGACGGTAAAAAAAAAATGCACCACTCTGGGGCAGGGTGTGGCCAGTGGGGGTACGTGGGTGGGGGCAGGGTTATGAGAACTCTCTGCATTTTCTGCTCAGTTTTGCTGTGAACCTAAAACTGGTCTAAAAAATAATCTCTATTTTTTTTTTTTTAAAAAAATATATCAACTGAAAAGTCTTCATCACCATCTTGAGGACTGAAAGGGACCCCGAGGTGAAGCAGGAAAAGCAGCTGGGACGCTGTTGCAGTCAGCAATGCGCGCGGGAGTCCACAGCGACTTGGCCTGGGGAGATGGTGAGCAGTGACCAGATCCACAACATCTTAGAGGAAAACTCCAGAACCTGCTAATGGACTGGGCTAGTCAAGAACGGGAAAGAGCAAAATTAAAGGCAATTCTGGGGATTCGTTTTCACAGGAACGACTGAAGTCAGTCGCAGAACATTCGGAGGTCATATAAACAGCATCTGAAAGTGCCGTGCAGGGTGGGGATGGAAACATCAGCGGCACATCTGGAGTTTTAAACGCAGACGTAAAGACGAGGAAGGCTGGGCAGAGGGCGCGGAGCAGATTCAGCCTCGGCAGACTTGGGCTCAGAAGTGTGGCTGAAGGCCCGATGAAGAAGCTGAGTGACCAGCCGCTCTCTCCTCCAGTTCGCCCTCTCTGAGGACCGTCATTAAGAACATCCCTGAGAATTTCTGGTCGATCCAGACTATTGTGCCTAAAAGGTGTTTCGGAGTCAAAGAAAGAAAGAAAGGAGCAGAGGTTGGAGGAGGGTCCCCAGGCAGGACTCCCGTGAAGGGTTAAAACAATGTCTAAAAATACATAAAGGCCATTCTCATCTTCATCTACCCAAAAAAAAGCCTCACTGCTCCTACGCTATTAATCCTGGGATCCACGGACATCGTGAGGGGAAGAATCATCTTAATGAACAGATACGAGAAGTGCGTTTGTTCCACTGAGAGGCCACCGATCTAACGCAGGCCGCGTGGCCAACGACATTCAAAGCCATCCTCTGAGGCTCGCACCTTTATCTAAATCCTCAGCAACTCTCGAATCGAACAACTTTTTCTGCAATTGCTTCCGACCGTCTCTAATCCTTTATGACGTTGAGATAGAATGCTATAATTTTCATTCAAGCTTCTAATTCATCTAAAACTCCGGGTCTATAAATGTGGTTCAAGCTCCATGGGTTGTGCTTCTCAAAGTCTGCACTAAAGGCCTTCCCGGTCTTAAAGGACCACTCCGAGTCATTTTTAGAAAGAAAACATAAAAGAATGTCTAGTGGCGAGAGCTAGCTCAGCATAGAGTTCAAAATGGGCTGACTTTATAGTCAAGTAGAATCAGTTCAACGAAACAAATAGACAAGACGCTCTCACTCCTGGCTGGCTAACGGCTGCGTGCTCTGTCGCTGGGTGAAGAGGGCTTCGGACAGTCACTGTGCCATGAAATCTCATCTCGCGTATAAAAGACCACGGGTGCACAAGCATCATGTACGCCACGGTGACCGAATCACGCCCAGGACTTCCCCGGTTTGAACGCCGAAGGCCCTCATCCTGAGAGCCCTCCCTACAGACAATCGGAACGGTTGGCCCCTCTCGGCTTAACCCAGCCCCTACTTGCTGGGTTTTGTCATCCAGTGTGTGTCACTAGGGCTATTTCATCCCAAATTTTGTAAAGTAACAATCAAGAGCTTTGCTGAAGGCACCCCTCAGGTAAATAAGCCCAATACTGAAACCCAATCTTCCCGGCTTCACACAATCACTGAAGCTTTGCATCCTTGCTCACCTGTCCACTCCCATCGCTCAATCTTAATATTTATGACCTTCTTTTTCCTAGACGTGGGGACATCCATGACTGAGACCATTTTCAGAATCTAATAGCCAGTGAAAGGGGGAAGGGGAGGGGAGCTTCCTGGCAAGATGTCGGCACAGACTCAGGCCTCTACCTGCCCCAGTTCTAGCCGCCCAGGGAGAT